GAACGTGTCGAAAAAAATAAAGATACAAACGGTACAATAAAAAAAGATTGAGAGAATTTTAAGTGCAATAACACTAAAAATAGTAATGTTATTCCGCAACATTGGTGCTAAGCACAAGTATAGATGACAAATAAATAACATTATAATGAATTCATCTAATACAAAGTCACACCATTCATTAAGCCCCGGTGGCAACCATGATTTTAAAATTCTTTAATACTCATACTAATTTTCAACTACATATTTATAAAATAAAGTTCTTATTTGGGCTCTGTTACTCATATAAATAATCGCTCCCCACGTGGCGGATCCGAGGGCCCTACCCAACGTGAGGTGACCTTGTTCCCCCTACTCAAGTATAAAAGCCCACGCTTAGAGTCATTTGGGGTTAATGCAAGTTTAGATTCTCAATCCAAGATTCTCTCAGCATACATTTCTATTATTCGATACAAAAAACCGACCCCCACATTTTCCTTCATTGAATCCGGTCTACGTGGACGCAAGAGGTTTTTGACATCTGTTGGCAACATCTTTGATACAATTTTTGGGGTCAACAGATTGACACCGTCTGTGGAAAGCCTTTGATACCATAACCACGAACATCCTAGTGGTAAAACCCCTTTGAAGAGGGACCTTGAAAAAGGTCTGGTTCTTGAAGAAAGAACCGTCACGAAGAAGGAGTACCTAAAAGGAAAAGATTGTCAACCCAAGGTCAGATACTTATAATGAGTTCCAGCCACCAAGAAACACATGGTGAAGATAACAACGAGAGGCTTCTGAAGAAGAGGTCCTCCGCACCAATGTGAACATGCGTTGTCCCCATCACCAACACAGGCAAGATAACACTATAGCACGCCTAGCTAGGGAAGTGGGGGAATGACCGCAAATATGAGGAACATGGCCTAACAAAACGTAGTCGTGTAGCAGCTGCTCATGCAAATGCACCAACAAGCTGGGTCCCAGGTGCCTCGACGCAAAGTTTTCCCCCAAGAAGGTGAGGAAAAAGATACGGCAGCATATCCTCAAAGGCATGGCATGGGTGACAACCCAGTGGAGAGGGAGATGGAAGTAGATACCTCCACATTAATTACGTTACGAGATGGCCTGGTAACAGCATGCCACATGAATAAAATTTCCATCCCAAATACACTCAAGAGCACGAACCTCAAAGGTCCAACAACGTCTTCGATGGAATTGGACCCTCTAGGCCTAGAAATAGGTCCCATCAACCACTCCTTGTCCAAAGGGAGTAGGGACAATACCAAGGATATGAACCTCAGGAGGCAACCACCTCCACCTAGAAATAGGCGAGAGAGAAGGGATGAGGTAAATATGAGAAATCAAGCAGGGACGTCACGACCCCCTCATTATCAAGCAGAAGAGAATGATTTTAATGGTCCTTGCGGTCGTTTGAACTAGATGATGACGACGAAAGCTTGCCCTTCTCCCGAGAGTTGAGAAGCGCCACAGTCCCAAGTCACTTTGTGCCTCCAAAGATACTCAAATACTAAGGAAAAGGTGATCCGACGAAGCACCTCAACAACTATAAGACCCAAATGTCTTTGCGAGGGGCCTCATCGGCGCTGAAATGCAGAGCTTTTCACCTTACGCTAATAGGAGCCGCATAAATTTGGTACAGCCGCATCCCAGCCAGCAGTATTAGAAGTTGGTCGAAACTCAAAAAGCCTTTCTGAACCAATACCTATCTAGCAAAGAATGAGAGGCCCCCATCCAAAAGCTGCAAAAAATGAGGCAGCAGGCAGGGAAAACCCTGAAAAGCTATTTGGCTCGCTTTACGAATGAGATGACTTATTGTGAACATGTCACGGATAGAAAGGCCCTTTCCACCCAAGGGGAGGCCTCAACATGAACACATTATTCTGGATAGACGTGCGAAATAGGAATCACACTTCCTACGATGCTCTAGTAGAGATGATGAGATGTGAAATCTTCAATGAGGAGCTGATAGATCACCGCAATAGGACCTCGCTGGGGCTCTCATTGCCTCAAAGACAGCAAAGAGGCCCTGTGTCTGACCTGGTGGACCAGCAATGGATCCAAGTAGGACACACAATAGCCCCCACCTCAGGCCAAGTATTGGCCACCGCCACGCTGAATGCAGTACCTTCCTTAGCATATGAAGAGGTTGGGACTGGAGTCCAAAGGCAGTCGAACCCATCCAGAGGAAGAGGCAGGGGAAGAAACAGGGGGCCTCGAGATAGGCAGTACTGCACGTACCATCAAACTAACAGCAACAGTACTGAGAATTGCCTATCCAGGCCATATCACGGAGAACTAGTTGGCCCCCACATGGAGGGTAGAAACACCCACCAAGTTCAAAGATACGCTCCCCAGCCTAGGTAGGAAAGAAAACCTAGGCATAGCGAGGCGAGGCGCCACGAACAAATCACCTCGACAAGAACACGAGGAAAATAGGAACAGGGCAAAGGGGCAGAGTCCCAGGAGAGAGCCTCCAGCAAATACCGATAACGTTCCCATCAGAGAAATCGACATCGTCATAGGTGGTCTTCACATAGGGGAAAACTATAAGAACGCATTGATGAACTACGCGAGAGAGGCGAAGGTCTGAGAACACCCGATCAATCACATTTTCCCTAGCAGACACTGTGAGAGTTCATTACCCACACTATGACGCACTGGTGGAGCGAGCCGTCATAGTCAGAAATGGACTGGGACGGATGTTGGTAGATAATGGAAGTTCGATTAATATCGTATTCGGAACCACTTTCAACAAAATGATGGTAGATTATGAGCTGGCTCCCATGACTGCTCCATTGTACAGTTTTACTGGTGATAGCATCATCCCTAGAGGAAGGATCACATTGGCAATGGAAATGGGGGAACCCCCATTTAAAGCCCACCACTTCATGTAGTTCCGGTAGAAGACCATCGATCCACCTATCACGGAGTACTATAGCGACCCGCCCAAAAAGTACTCGAGACCGCGACGTATATACATCACCTATGTATGAAATTTCCTACCAAGAAAGGGATTGCCACTGTACGGGGGGATAGATGGGATCAAGATAGTGCTACCTTTGCTCCTTAAGGAAATCCGAGCCCCGTAGCGACAAGATGGGCTGGTCAATCTGATGAAGCCACGCGTCTTATCATCCAACGGACCTTGTTCTCCCTACTCAAGTATAAAAGCCCACGCTTAGGGTCATTTGAGATTAATGCAAGTTCAGATTCCCAACTCAAGATTCTCGCAGCATACATTTTTATTATTCGATACAAAACATCGACCCTCACCTTTTCCTTTATCGAATTCGATCTACGTAGATGCAAGAGATTTTTGACATCTGTTGGCAACATCTTTGATATAATTTTTGGGGTCAACGGGCTCCATTAAAATTTAAATACATTTTCTCTTTTTTCTTTTTAATAATACATTCTCAAATAAAATAATATTACACGTAAATAAAAAAGTTCCCTTCTTTTTTAACCAAAATATTTTGTTTACTTGCGGAGAAAATATTTTTTTACACTTTTTATTTATTTATTTATTCTTTAAAAGGGTAATTAACACATAACGTTCTCACTTTTCATTATTATTGTAGAAAACGTCCATACCTTTCATTTTTTTAGTATTTTCACCTTTATTTCCACATTTCATTGCGAAAAGGTCATTCTCACCTATTTTTTCAATTAAAAATTATGAAATGACGAATATAGCTCTCTCTTTAAATAAAACAAAAAGAAAAAAATTTAATTGCAATCGCAATCCCAAATTTTTTTAAAATGCACAAATATGTTACAAAAAAATTATTAAAAGACATAATGTCCATATCTTTCATAGTTATTGCGAAAAATATCCATACCTTTCATTTTTTTTATTTTTTTTTATATTTTCACCATTAATTACACATTTGATTGTATAAATCATCATTTACATCTAATTTTTCAATAAAGAACCGTAAAATAATGAATATACCAATCTTATTTAAATAAAAATGTATTTTTTTAATTTCTATTTCTTTAATAATTTATTATGGACTCGTTTGCATTTTTTAATTTTTTAAATAAATTTAATTATAACACGTTTGCACTTTTTTAAAATAATTTATTAGGGACTTGTTTACACTTTTTTTAAAAAAAATTGGGATTATAATTGTAATTAATTCTTTAGCTTTTTATTTAAATAGGAAGGTATATTCGTCATTTCACATGTTTTATTGAGAAATTGGATAAAAATTGATAGAAATGAAGGTTTGCGTAATCAAACGTGTAATTAAGAGTGAAAATGTCAAAAAAAGTGAAAGATATGGACATTTTTTTACAATAAGGATGAAAGATGCGGATATTATGAACTAATTACCCTTTTAATAATTTATTTGTGACGTATTTGCACTTTTTAAGAATATTTAGGGCTGTAGACGCAATTAGTTTTTTCCTTTTTGTTTTTGTTTTATATAAAGAGAATGGTGTATTCGTTATTTCATAATTTTTAATTAACAAAATATGTGAAAATGATATTTTGCTCAATAAAAAGTGAAAATAATTGCTAAGTGTACACAATTTTTTACACAATCTTTTACACCTCTCTCACATGGAAGGGGGCCCACACATAATAAAATAATCGTGGACCCCCCTCCATGTGAGAGAGGTGTAAAAGATTGTGTAAAAGTGTGTGTACATGTAGCATTACCCTTAAAATTATGATGAGAAAATAGTTGTTTGCTACAGTTCAACCACCCTGATTTCCTCCTGCACACAAAGTACGACGTCGCTTTCTAGCCCCACTTCTCTCTCTGTCTAACTTCCAACCCACTTCCCGGGGTTGCTTCTTCTGCACACAGTAGACCCCTACCTTATTTTAAACTCCAAATCAAACAAATTATTCAATTTCTAATTGAATATATAAAATTCTACTAATAATTGCAATGCAATTCTAGATTTCTCTTTGTGAAATGTGTTTCAGTTGTTGATTAAAAGGCTTGGGGTTCTGAAAGTGTAACTGAAACTTTGTTCCTGGGAGAATGGAGGTGGAGCAATTGAGGCCGGATAATCCGGCTATGACGTTTGATGAGATGTCAATGGAGAGAAGCAAGAATTTCGTGAAAGCTTTGCAGGTAAATTCGCTTTATGCTCTTTTTTTTTTAATTGTTAATTTCTAGGATCAGATCTTGGAGAGTTTGTATGTGCGGATGCTTTTGCTTGTTTTGATGCGCGGTTGACCTTATTTTTGGAAAATTCTTATTCGATTTCTGCTAATTAAGACTTGATCCAGTGTGGTTTCAACTCGTATTTCTTGATATTTTGATAATCTAATTTTTCTAATGAGTACCTGTTAGCTTATGCGAATTGGCTTATTCACAGTGTACAATCATCTCGCCCGATAGCATACTCGCAATTTACTTGAAGTTGTGTATTGCTCTTGACTTTTTCCCGAAGCTAGATTATTAGTTATAGTTCATTTTTGAAAGTAGGCGTTACTTGTTTCTTCTGGTATATAAAGCCGAAAAAAAAAGCAACCTACAAACCTGTTTGAAACTCTGGTTTTGTAAACTAAAAATATAAGAGCAGTGGTGCATTGGGAATTTGAGTTTCAGTGTTAGGAGAAATAAAAAGAGTAACTGAATGATATTTTTGGAGAAGAATCCTTATTTTTGCCCCCATTTTCTTTTTATTTTTAGTTGGGTTAAAAAGGGAAATTGGAGGATGGCAATCGTTTTTCTTTCTGTCTGGCGGTCATCGTTATCCTTTTACAGAATTAAGATTAGACATTTTTATTTATCATATAGAACTTTATTCAGTTCCAGCAAGCATGTTACCACTTTTATTGACCATTTGCGAAGGTCTAGGTGGTAACTAACTCATTATGATAATTGAGGGAATTTTTCTGCCTCTAGCAGAGAGTTGAGGCAGAGTTTTCATTTCTTACTCTTATGATATTTATATTTATATTACCAGAAACTGAAATGAGTTCTCAATTCTAAGAAATATTGCTCTTCAGACAAGGCAAGCTTTGCATACTTCCCCACAAAATGTCATGAAGGAAACATCTGTTTACATCCTCATTCACGTAGAAAGCAATGAACCCTTTGTATGTAAGTCAGGAGAATGTCCATACAATGTATCTGTCTATTGCATAAGAACAGACAACTCTTGGGCGATTTTGCATAATTAATTGCTTTCTGTTACATTACTGTGCATGTTCTTCTACTCATTGAGACTTTTATTTGTTGACTTTCTCAATTTTTTTTTTATGTCCAGTGTGGTTGTAGGTTGGTTGACATACTAGCAATTTGTTTCTGGCACAACTGTTTTGCTGATTTTAGTGAAAATGTAGATTCATTTTAATCATCAGATAATTCTGTTTCAGGAACTGAAGAACCTCAGGCCTCAACTTTATTCTGCTGCAGAGTACTGTGAAAAGTCATACCTTCAGAATGAGCAAAAGCAAATGTAAGCAGCAGTACCACAAATTAATGAAAGATTTTTTGCTTAATTTTGATCTAAAGATCTTTTGCATAATCTTTTTTACTTTGCATTAATATATGTAAAAGGTACTGTATGTGGATGGAACTTTATGCAAGACAAACAACATGGCTAAGAGATCTGCAGCAAAAGTGGCCAAGAGTCCTTCATTCAAGTGTTATATTTGCTTTTGCTTGTTGTGTTCCTAGTTTGACTTTTCACCAAATTTTAGCAATCGTAAATAATTAATTGTCAGTTGATAGAAATGATATTCGAATGATACAAACACACACACAGAGACAGTATGTCTAAATATCCACTTGGTTGGAGTGGATTAGATAAATTTAAGGAGGTTTTTATGGGTATAATGTTATGACATAGAGAGTGCTGTTGATGACTTGGAGGACAACATTGTTGTTTTCCTCCCTGAAAGTGTCGTCACTTGTCACTGGTGTTTCCCTGCCAGCAAGCAGGTGGCAGGTGCCCTGGAAAATAACTTCAACAAATAACAAACGTACAGTTGGCTACATTAATCATTTTTTCTCTGCTCGGTTTGATGCGTCACTATATCTACCACTATCTAATAAGATTAAAACTTTTGCAACCACAGAACATATTAGTCTAGGTTTACCTCTCCATCTTCTAATATCTTATACTAGGTTCACATCACTGTATGGAAACAGGAATTTTTATATCTATGCAAGACATGGACAAAAGCACCTCCATTGTGTTTCTTTTAATTTATGGTCGATTGGCACCACCTTAACTTGTTAAGATAAGTTTCTTTATCTCGTCCTTGGAAAATAGACCTGAAAAATCAACAGGATATCATCCATAAATACGTCTGGCTTCCAATCTTTTTGCATTCAATTTGATTAATCATACTCATTCTTGACGTTCTTATGGAATCACTTGCTACCTGTTTACATTTTCAAAGAATTACATTGTAAATCGTCCCAAGCTTTGCTTATTTTGTTCTATTTCCTTCTTGTGATAACTATGCTTGGAATATTAAATCTCCATGTTAATTATTTGATGTATGAACAAGAGCATGTTGTATGAATCTGCCAGAGTTACGTTCATGTCCATTTTTCTCCTGCCTTTTTTTTCTTTTGGAGGAGCTGGAGTTCATGAATATGATGTTATGTATTGTGATGTTATACTTTTATGTTAATTTTCGTGATGTTTTCAGAGTCGTCCACCAAATCGTTTGTTTTCTTAGCCTCTTCTTTTCTGTAACTGTGGAAGTTTAGTTTTACTTAATGCATTAACTTACCTACTAGGGTACTGGATAACCTGAAGAATTATGCTGTAAGAGCTCTGGTCAATGCCGTTGACCACCTTGGCACCGTTGCTTACAAACTGACTGACCTTTTGGATCAGCAGACCTTGGATATTTCAAACGTGGATTTAAAGATTACGTGTATAAATCAGGTAACTTTCACTCTTCAGTTAGTGAAGATGTTTCAGAGAATCGACTCATTATGGAGGCTGAAATTTAATTTTTGATGTCAGCAACTCTCAACATGCCAAACTTATGCTGAAAAAGAAGGTCTTAGGCAGCAGCAGTTGTTAGCGATCATCCCAAGGCATCACAAGCATTATCTCTTGCCAAGTAAGACTAGTCATTAGTGGATTAGTTTAGAAAGTTGTTGCCTGTGATCGATAATCTTTCATTCCCTTGTTTATTTTTCCCCTGGTTGAATACCAAGCTAGATTCTGTCAACAAGAAGGTACACTTTAGCCCACAATTACAGACAGATGCTAGTCAACATATCCAACCAAGGCCTCATCGCTATCCTTCAGGTAATTTATCTTTTCAGCTCTGTATTGTTGTTAATTGTAATGCTGTATGAGTTGCTTGTTTGCTGAGATATAATTTGTGGATCTTGGTTACTTGGTAACACACTTTCATTCAGGTGCTTTCGCAGCAAAAACTCTTTCATGGCATTTAGCATCAGAAACCAAGTCTACCTTGAAACCATCTCCCCATATGATGTTGAGGTTGGTCCTTGAACTCCATCTCCTAGTTGTTAATACACAAATCTATGCCTGTTTCTGCATTAAGGAGGGTTTCCATTAAATCTTTTAAGAGCATGAAGAGTTTTTACTTATCTTTTGCAGCAATGGAGACCCAAAAATTTCTGGTGCAATTAACTTGGGTAAGCAACAAAGTACACTTGATCTTATCTTCTTGATGATGCATGCTCCATAAATAGAGGTGTTTACTTCTATTCCCTTCACTTTGTCGAGCAGATGCTGACGAGAGTACCAAGTTGAAGTCCACTCCAGCTTCTGATGCAGCTACATCTATACCAACACTAGTCACACGGCGGGTAATGTCAAAATTTTCCAGCAGTTACGCACATCATATCTTTCCAGTTGCATTGAGTGAGGATGGACTGTTGAATTGTTGGCATTTTCTATTTTCGATTTTATTCAGGGAGAAGGGACGATCTTTAGTTTGTTGGGATTTTCATTTCTAATGATATATTTTGTAGGCTGTCCTGTATCATTGGAGCGTGAGAGCAAGAACTTAGTAAGAAGTCGTTTCTTTTGCAGGAATTTCTGGAGGGCTCGAAACCTATGACTCCATTTAGGTCATTTGACAATCCAACACAAAGAGAGATTGTTCGTGCTCCAGTTCGTAGTAGAAGTGTTCTGTCGAACTTCTTTGTCAAGCAGAAGGCGTCAAAGCTGAAGAGCAATGCATGAATCCTTGCATCAACCGTCAAATAAATTCTAATATGGCAAATTTTTCGAAGTGGAAAGGCAGTCGTCTATGATCATCAGGCTTCTACATTTGGAAGGCATCATCAATATTCATCTCATACTCGTCGACTGTAGACTTATTCCTTGATTCCTTCTGTTATCTGGATTAATAACTAGCTGGGAGTGTATATTAGTCAGCTAGGAAGTGTTATACGCTTTTCAAGCAAATTGCTGGAGTTATGATTGTATAATTGCCTTGTGCAAAACCATTGTGACTTGTTTGGTATGCAGTAGTACTGCACAGATTTGAACATCACGATTGACGAGATTTTCTAGTTTATTTGTTTTTTGTTTAATTCTGTGTATTCTACCATATCAAACATGTCATTGGTGTTCAAAATTTTAAACCTACACGTGTTTTTTCCATATACTTTGAACAAATACTCTTTTTTGCACAACACGAAGCTTGTAGTTCTTGTAAATGTCGGCATCATGAATATTATCTTATACTCCATGCTAAACATGTACTCAATGTAAATTATCTGGAAGCTATTGATTGTTAAAATACTTGTAACTTTAGGTCTTTTATTAGTGTATCTAAGTTAATTCGACCATCACAATATGATGTTTCATTAAGTATTCGTAATACTCTTTTTGAAATTGGTTTTCAGGCCTTGTCTGGTACCACTTAAAATTTGGATTAAAAGTCA